AATAGGTACTACCTTGCCTGCTAAACAGACATTTTACGTAGCAAATGAGGCAACAGAAGGTAGTTGCTGACTAGCAGCCTTGCTGCAAGTTAGATTGAGAGTACTTTGAAGAGACTCTAAATCCAAAATTATTCAAATGAAAATCTAGAATTCTCTGTAAAAGAAAAATATTAAACATGGAGATTGTTAAAGTGCCAGAAGGCATGGAATTGTGCCCTGAGGTGCTGAGTATTAGCGAGGCTTTGTAAATTTGGGATAAGTTTTCAGGTTGCAGTGATTATTAAGGTTTAATACTTAGGAATAGACTGTTGCATCAGTTAAACAAAAGACAACCTACAGCCTCTGAATAGGACTTGGAAGTCCTGGGCTGAAATGTGTTCTTGAAGGCAGCATACCTGGAAATTTTAGTTATATCATCTGTATGGTCAATGAATGTCAACCTGATACTTAGAAATCCAGTATATCATCACTCCAAGTCCAGCTCCCACCATCCACTGTTGCTGGATTGATCTTTCAAAAAATGAAAAATTTATCAGGTCACTACCTACTAAAACTATTTGAAACCTCATTTCCTGGAGGATATGCTCCTTAGGCAGATGAGGCCCGTGGTAACCTAGCCCCTGGCCTACCTTTTAGTCTAATCTCTAGCCTTCCCTCTGATGTGCCCCATAACCCAGGGCTTGGCATTCTCCAGCATTTCTTGTGTTTGGTCCTATTGTTTCTTCTTCCTGCACTGCCATCTCTTCAGCTGGAGAAAAGTAACATACCCTGAATAACAGTATCAAGAAGCACTCCCTTGTGTATTGACAGACTTTGTGTATCTGCGTCTAGTATAGCATATGTCACTGTCTTTCTTGCTCTATGCATCCACCTCCTCTTGATTAATGAATTTTTATTTTCTAAGGAACCAAGACAGTGTCTGGCACATGATAGGCACTAAATAAAGAGTGGAATAGTGCTATTGACTCCCATAGAATATTGTTTACAGTATCTTAAAGCATATGCCATTCTGCCTTTATCAGTGAGTTGTTTTGGTTTTGGGGGGGTGGTAATTAGGTAAATTTATTTATTTGTGTATTTTTTTAAATGGAGGTACTAGGGATTGAACCCAGGACCTCCTGCATGCTAGGCATGCGCTCTACCGCTGCACTATAGCCTCCCCTGGTGAGCTGTTAATGTAGCTATCCTTTTTAACAGGTCATAACCTCTCCTTTCTTCCCAGGTACATAGCACTATATGATGCAGAGTAGACAGACACTCAAAAGATACTCAATTCAATTGCCTTGGAAGAGAAACCTAGAAACTTGAGTTATTTTTTTCGCTTTCTGAGTATCTTGAATAAATAACCAGTAAATAGAGTCAAACTTCTATTTCTAAGTTGGAAATCTTTATTCAATTGATACTTATTGTGTAGAAGAAACTAACATTAAAATATTTTCCATCCCTTTATCTCCTGGAATATTTCTAGCAAATTTTGGAGACTTTTTTTTAAACTTGAATTACAAAATAAGCTAAGTGACATCCACATCCACAGTATAAGACCAGGAGAATAAAATGTTGGTAAGCAGTAGAGCAAGCACACGATAGCAAAGAAAACGAAAAACGATTCCTTTGTCCTCTAAAACTAGGTAATGAACGTGCAGCAAGGGGATAGTCAAGTTCTGTGACTTAATACAGCCAGTTCATAGCTACAGTGCCATTGTATCTATGACTTGAACTAGTTGAGAGATTTGTTTACTTGCCAGATAGTTCTTCAAATTGCTGTTTTGTCTCCCATCCCCATTTGCTGTACCATCATCCTTGTCTGTGCCCCACAAATTCATTACTAAAGCGTTAGCTGATTTTGCTGACTTGTCTCCATCCTGGCCATCAAGTTGGATCATCCTAAAACATGTCACTCCCTAATATGAAACAACGGGTTATAGTTACAGTTTATCACTTTTCAATTACATCTTCCCCTGCTTTGGTTGATCTGGTAATATTTCACTAACCATGCTTGGTTTTTGTTCTGTATCTGTTTTATGTTTTCAGACTTTTTTTCCCTCCTAGTAGTAGTCACCCTGCAGCTTCAAATCTTTATCATCCTCAGATTAAACTTAATTTCTGAAACTGAAAACCAAGCCTCTAAATCTGTGGTACATTTAGTTTCCTCACAATTTACCTTATTACTCTTGAAAGTTTTGTGTTAATTTTTTCTGCCCAGTGGAATTTTTGTAATATTTGCATTTCCCAATGAGCCAAATGTATACTTGCCAGGTAGGGGTCTTCAAAATGCTGTTTGTATTTGTCTCCCATTCTCTATTTGAAACAGTTAATAACTGTTGTTTGACTAGTACTCCTTAAAAGAAAAATATTATAAAAGCCTGTTTTATCTCTGGGTGGACTATTGGGAGAAAGTAATTACAACTAACATTGCATCAAATAATTCCTCAGATGTGAACCTAGGAAATGTAAATTACAGTTGACCCTTAAACAACGCCAGAGTTAGGGGCACTGACCCTCCAAACAGTGGAGGAAAGTTCCAAATAACTAGTCAGCCCTCTATCTCCAGTTACACATCTGCAAATTCAACCAGCCATGGGTTGTGTAGTACTGTAATATGTATTTACTTGGGGGGGGGGGGGCAGATAAGTGGACCTGTGCAGTTCAAGCCTGTGTTGTTCAAAGGTCAACTGTAATTTAAATGCTAGCCTAAGCCAAGCATAACTTGAAAAATACATGTTGGCACCCAAAATCGCTCTCGCAAAGTTGAAGTTTTGCAAGATGCACACACTTTTCAGGACAGATCGTCAAGAATTGATGCCATTGTCTCCTTAAAGAGTAGAGCAGTTCTCCCTTGCTTCCTTCTGGTTTCCTTTTCCCATCATTCTTAAGAATTATTCTTACAGAAGGAGCCTTAAGTCACCCCCAAAGTTAGTGATCCTGCCTCAAGAATTTCTCAGGTTTCTCATTGAGATTGAGTCATTTTGGTTCTTTGTTATTATTAGTTATCTGTAAAGGGATTCATAAATAGAGTGAAGAAACTGGGTAGTATATTATTTCCTTGATTTGGGAGAGTCTTAACACTATTCAAGGACCCTGGCTCTGAT